AGAGAGAGAGAGAGAGAGAGAGAGAGAGAGAGAGAGAGAGAGAGAGAGAGACAGAGACAGAGACAGACTGACAGACAAACAGACAAAGGGAGAGAGAGAAAGAGAGAGAGATTTGTTAGTTTGTCTGGGTCAGGAAGATAAGGCGGTGTTTCTTTGTGGGTTTCCCAGAATGATAGAGCACAGCTCAACACTTTTCGCGCATAATTTACCTCTGGGTTTCGTAAGGTCTTTTTTTTTACAGTTTTATTTTATCAAAAGTACATTGTTGTGTTTTATCTTTGTTTCTTCGTTTAAATACTTTCTTTTGAAAAGGCAGGCTATTTTTTATTGTTACTCTGTGACCAACTGTTTCTTCCACGTTTTTACCGTTGGACCCGTCCCTGGCTGTTCATTTAGAAAAAAAACTCCCAGCACTTGCATCACAATTATGCCATAAAAGAGCAAAAGATTAGCAGGAGCAACATGCATACAAAATGAGAAGCGGTACGGACGATAGACGTTTGGTTTTTAAAAAAAGAAGCCACAAACCATGCCAGAGCACCCGCCAAGATAATAACATATTGATCTCACACTTTTGAGCGCTTGGAGAAGAGTAAACACTATAACTCTACAAACTCAGGTTCGGAAATCTTATACAAGGCGACAAGTTATCTTCCTGCACAACAATTTCTATCACACCCAGTATCAAACAAACGCAAAGGACGAAAAGCAAACTCCGCAATAATAATCATGGGTACGCATGACTGTTGAGGGGTGGGGAAAAACAAGGAAATAAACGCTGCTAACAACAGCCTTGGACCGTTTCCCTGAGTGACAAAATCATCATGCAGGTTGTTATTATCGACAACGATTTCTCTTGTCTGGAAGCAGACAACTGTTGCAGGTATCATAACGATTATAATGACAATCTCATCCACTACAGACTGTCGATAAACGTTCTCAATGTGGAGATACACGGGTATCAGTGTGTTACAATCAAAAGGATACGGCAATATTGCTCTGTATTGTGCGAGAATAACATAACGTTGCTGTACGTTCATCCAATGACGATGAACGCGCGCGCGCGAGTGTGTGTGTGTGTGTGTGTGTGTGTGTGTGTGTGTGTGTATAAATGTACGGTAACCGTTCCAGGTTGAGATCTATTCGTGTGAGTGCCACACATCTGACTTTCTCCCGCTCCACCAATACTCGTCAATCGAAGGGAAAATCGATTTGAACAAATCCATGCACACCTGCATAATGTGTGCATAGAGCGATATAACATGATGTGAATGTCGGCACCCACTGTGCTGTGATAGGATAGTTTTAGTAAGAGTTTTACGGCACTTGCAACACA